TGCGTGCGTTGCATAACCCGAAGGGTGGTTGGGGGGACATGGCTCACAGAGGGGCTGGGAACGACTTGCGTGGCTGGCGTTTGCCCACCGCCCCTCCGGGAAGTTGGAATTCAGCGAGGCTGGATTCGAAACTTGGTGGAATTAAAAGGGGGGTTAGTTGGGGGCGGTGGGTGACGTGCGGGAAAGCAAGACGTGGCACTTGATTTTTACTTTGAGGCGGTAGTCAGGAACGGGGCGGGCGCGTAGGTGTGGGGAGCGGGAGTGATGCGCAGTCACGTGTGATGGGCTTGGCGCGTTGAATGCAAGGTACCTGTTTTTCGAGTACTAGCATGAGAAATATTGACGTAGCGGCTATTAGCCTTCGTAGTCCACCGGAATCCAATGCAATCTATAGGTCATGCTTGTTAAACGAGGATATCGTTTCATACCAGTATTCTCATCACTATGCTCAAAATCCAATAAATTGCAATAAGAGGGTATACATACAACCACTTGCACCATGACATCTACCACTCAGTCCACCTCACTCCACCATATCATGTAAAGTTAATAGTGTAGCCATCTTCACATCCCCAGTTCTCCCAAATAAACACCACCAACTCCATCATTTTCACGACCATAGTCTCCATCTTAACCACGATCTAGTAGAAACCCCAAAATATAAAAACCCCCCAAGTTTACTGATAAAACCTCCACTTCACCTCCTTACACTCCCACTCCCTCTTAACACTCTCTATCTTATCCGTCATCCACCCACTCGTCCACCGCCCATCTCCAATCGAGCCACCCAGTCGAATCACCTTGCTAAGATGACACTCTCCGTCCCCGTGATTAGAGTACCGCCATTGCAGACAGTCCTCGATTTGTTCGCACGTCTTCTGGCACGCCTCGGGGCTATCTGCGGCATTGGGGTGTTTATCGGCCAGCTTGTCCCAGTTGGGTGGTTCCTTCTTTTCGCCTTCTTTCTTCTTGTCTTCTCGTTTTTGCGGGTGGGTAGTATGTGTGCCAGCGGTTTGTAGGATGTCGTCTTTGTGATCTTTCATTAAGTGTTCTGGGTCTTCTGCTTTGTCCTTTTCTGGATGCTCTGGTTTCACGACGCCAGGTAGGTCGGGTTCGCGGTCGGGTTCACTGTCAGATTCGCGTTGAGATTCCTTGAGGGCTTCCTGCTTCTTTTTCTCTTCCTCTTCTTGATTTTGCTTGGCTTTTTGGGCTTCGTCTTTGATTTGTTGCTGTCTCCCTTCTGCCGCGACAATCTTGGCGTCATGGCTCAGGTTGTCCCAGCCTTCCTTGCGTGCTTCAACGTGTGGTGCGACGTGGTCTTGGTATGCGTCGCGGAACAGGTATGGTGTTTTCCAACCCTTGGTGCTAGTCCACTTCTTTTCGATCTCCCATTGCCGAGTGAGCTGGTCACCGCTGACTTTGTGCCACGAGACGGCTGGTGCGCACCAGTGTCTCTTGGTGTAGTCGAGACTGTATGGTTGCTCGGCTTGGAGAAGAGGCCAGGACGAGTACAGTTCCACATGCGCATCTGCCATGGCTCTTGCCAACATCAAGTCTCCGCAGCATTCATTGTCAACGGCCGGCTCCCACTTGCGAGTGTATTGCTCGTCATAAGATTTTGCAAATCTCCGCAGAGCACCTTGAGACAGCAAGATGCCTGGTCCGCGTTGGGCCGTTTGTGTTCCAGAAATGTAAGCAGGGGCTCCGCTGTAGTAGGGTATCCGATAGTCCAGTCTGGCGATCCATTGCAACAAATTGGTCCAACTCAGGGCCGTTTCTTCTTCGATAAAGACCATGAACCTGGCATGGGTATTCATATGATAGGCCTGATATACCATTGGCAGCATCTTCCATTTGTCCAATTCATCGAGCTTCGCCGCATCGGGCTTGTGTTGGGCGTCCGCGCGCATGATTCGGTATTCGTGAAATTCGTCGTGCGAAGACTTGATTTCGTGGCTCACGGCCTTGAGCGCATCGTATACTTTGTGGCCCTCAAACTCGCCCTCGTGGTCGCTGAAGATGGCAAAGGTAGGTACGCAGGAAATCAAGGTACGGAGGTGCGCGTTCAACTTTTCAATACTAGCCTTTGATGTCTTGAGCACCACCATGACATCTTGCGCCATTGCAAGATTCTGACAGTGTTCTTCTACGGCTTGTGTCGAGGGAGGGGCGACGGCAGCCGGAGTAGGTTCGTTGTCCGAGTTGTCTACAGCAGCGCTCTTGTGGGCGGCAATTGTGTGGGTGAGAAGCGTAGAGGGTGTAGCAATGCCATTATTCGCGTCCTGCCATCTCCCACCGTCTTCTTCAAATTCGGCTACGCCCGTCGTGCTAGGGGAAGGGGTAGCCGCATGACCCTTTTCGCCCGGTTTGTTGTGAACATTGGCGGGTGTCTCAATAGCGGGTGGCGGAATTATCGGTTCGGTATGGACATTCTTGTGTTCATAGTGATCTATAACAGGCACCTCTGGTTGAGCGTTTTGAGAAGGAAGCCCGAATGACCAGAAGAAAGTTAAGAGCGAGAAGGCGATTACGACGATGGCGAGCCGGGAGGGGGTGACGGTCGGCATGACGAGGACAGAGGCTCAATGGCCGGATTTGGAGTGGCTGGTTTTACAGAGAAACAATTTCAATACATCCGATTACTGTTGTCGCCTCAGGGTACAGACAGGGGCATTCTGGCGGTCGTGGTCGCAGAAGTCGCATGCCCCTCTGAACAATGGGTGCTGGGACGGGTGCATGAGGCGGTGCCTAGTAGGCCGCTCGCCCCCTTGGCTGTGGCGCTCGGTCGCGATGGTGCGCCTACGCCGTGTCCGCTCAAAAAGGCCCGGCTTTCGTTTGCTGTCAGAAAACACTCGGCCCCAGTGGCTTCGTCTTGCCTGTGGAGAGCGTGCCTAGGAAAAAAAAGGAAAATCACACTCGTGCACCGGGCGGATTCCAGGGGCACAGCAGACGTACTAGTTACGGTTGGGCTTCGGCATATCATTTCTCTCTACTAACAACCATGTACAGCCATCTTGCCCCTTCACCACGACCAGCAATTCCCTGCCGACATAATCATCACTATCAATGTCGGCCTCTGCTTGTCAAAAAAACTTTAATCGCCTCGCTATGCAATCACCTTAAACCCCCTATGCATCATCCCACACAAACTCACCCGCCATCCACAATCTCATCACCCAACATGCAACCAGCAGATCGCTCTTTGTCTGGTCCCTTCTGACTGCATCCGTCATCTCCAGCGCCCTACTTTCCCTCTCTGATCCCACCCCCTTCCACCTCGTAGCCAATCCATCCCCACCCCAACTCCCCACCCTCCTACTCTCCTCCCGCCCAACAACCACGCCCTCCGCATCCTCCCATACGCCCTTTTTTATGCAGAACAAAAGATGCTTCTCCGGCTCGCAACTGCCCCGGTAGTCACACCGAGAATGCCGCGCCCGGCACCTGGTGACGTGCCAAATGCGCGTCCACTGCCCGCCCCACAGCGTCTTTCCACTCGTAAGCTGGATGCTGCCCCTCAACGCATTTTCGGCCCGTCCCTTCATGTCGAAGTCTGAAATAGTATACAAGGTCCCTTCTTCATCGTAGCGTATGCGCCGATCCTGCGCTGCGAAGATTGCGGGTACGGAACAGGGCCGTGTTTCGTGCGGTTGGATGCGGCGGATGTTGAGGTGCATTGATGGGCCACTGCTTCGGTCTAGGGTTTGCTGTAGTTGGTATTTTGGTAGGTTTCGCGATTGTGTCTCGTATATGAAGGGGGCTTGGAGCCTTAGTGTTTTTGATTGATCGTCTAGAGGTAGTAGGTCTGGGAGTATGCTTTCTAATCTTTCTGATGGGGTTCCGGTAGATCGTGGGATGCGTTCAGGAGCTGGAAAGGTCTTTGATTTGATGATTGGGCGACGGGCTGGTGCGATTACTCGTGGTACAGAGGTTTCCGGAGTGTAGGGAGGACTGCTATTCGGGCGTGTGGAATTCGACCATGTGCTGGTAGGCGATAAGGGTTCTTCTGAGTATGTCTCTTCACTACTCGTCGCACTTGCTCTCCGTAGAGCATCGAAAGGATCCTTCTCTTCGGCGTACACATTACTCTTGGGCGTGACGGGGCATGGCGAAAGCGCGATGCTTTCACCCCGCGGTGCAGAGTAATTCGGCAGCCTGAACATTTTACAGATTTTCGATATAGGACAAGGCAGTGACTACCGAAGACAACGCAAGGAAGACACCCATCTATAAACCTATCTCCTTTACGTGGTCGTCCCGCATCTCCGGATGTATCAGCCACCACGTACCCTTTTAAGCCACCTACTTTGAGCCATTTACTCTCGCTGCGAGGACCGCATCGTGGCCCAGTCAGAACCTTGAATCAAACAAGCCTCAGAGTCTCATACAGAGTGTTCGAGGCGATTGGACGACTTGTTGCGGATCTTGCGGATTCAGGCCATCAGTAAGCGCATGAATAAGCGCTCGACATGACTAAATGTACGCAAGGTTATCAGCCAAGATACACCAACACCTCATCACATACACTAGAGTGCATGGGACATTGTGATTGGATTGGATGCGAGTGTTCAACGGTGTGTGCAGATACTCTACGCGAAATGGTAACTTTACGAACGTGGCCCACTTGGTGGCTGCAATGTCGTTTAGAGCACTGTTAGCTGTATTAGTAGAAGTTGACAGTCTTTGCAAGCTGACGAGTCGTGTCTTTATTCCCATTGATATAAGTTCATATCGTATGAGGCTCTGCTGCTGTGGGCTCATATTTGAGAATTTTCGCCTGCTGACTGAGCGGCTACTGGATATGAAGAAAGGAATTCTTAGGGACCTAAAAAAATTAGAGGATCTTGGAGTAAGGAAAAAACTTTCCAAAAATATACTCCCTGAATAGACAGCTCAGTAAATCTCCGAGATAAAACCTTGAACCAAAGTGGATTCTCTTACTCAACAAAGCACTTCCATCCCTAACCCTCAAGCCCCTCTTCTCACCGTCCCACCCCGCATCAAACAATCGGCGCAAAAAAGTTAAACTTCCCAAACGGATCATACTCCCTCTTCAAACCCCTCAGCCTCTCCAACCTCCACTCCTCAGGCCCATACAACTCCTCAACCGTCTCATCCCCCCTCGCATAATTGACATACGCCCTCCTCGGCTCCCCCGTTCCCTCAGCCATCACATCCCTGATCATTCCCGCAACCTCCCATGCCTCAACATCCAAACTCTCATCCCGCTCATACGTCATAAACGGCGAAAGTAGCAACTGGCCCTCGCGGTCGGGGTACGCGGTGCTATCGCTTGGTATAGCGCCCACGCGATTTGTAGCGTAGCCTTCGAGGAGAACAACGGTTTGGTTGAGTGAAGGTGGGAGGGAGGCCATTATGGTGAGGACTTGACGGAGAGAAGGAAGGTCGTATGTGATTGCTGAGACGGGGACGACGGAGCGAGTAAGTCCTTTTTCGCAGGATGTACCGGTGCGGTCCGCGCCGGTGAAGCGACTCACGCCTGCGAGGTCGGTTTGACCGGATGTGCTGGTGACAGGGGAGAGGGCGTATAGAGGGTCAGTGTATTGGGTCGGGATACTGGTACCTTGGTAGATTACGAAGACAACGACGACAGGCTGAGAGGTGTTAGGATTTGTGGACTTTGTGGGGAAGGGAGGGTGTGCTTTACGTTGGTTGTGTCGATTTTCGGGTCAAAGTAGAACATTATGTAATGTTCTAGTTCGACTGATCTGTTAGGACTTTCTAACCAGGTATTTACGATACCCACGATACTTTCCATCTTATCGTGAGTGAAGGATAATACATCGACGGTCCAATTGTCAAGACTTGGCTCTCGGTCGTATATTTTTATCTCAGCTTGAGTTACAATGCCAAAGTTGTGGCCAGCACCGCGGATAGCCCAGAACAAGTCTGGGTTGCTGTCTTCGCTCACGGTGATGGCGGTGCCATTGGCGAGCACCACGCGTGCCGAGACGAGCTGGTCGGCTGCAAGGCCATACCGGCCTTGGTTCCAGCCGTGTCCGCCACCGAGAATAGGAGAGATGTAACCAACACAGGCGCACGCTGTGGTCATGGTTTGCTTCCCGTGAGCCCACAAGTAGTCAAGGACATCGCCGTTGAGAATACCACCTCCGACGAGAGCAGTGTCACCACTCTCCGTAATCGATATCTCTTTCATACCACGCATTAAGATGCCGACGGCATGTTCAACATTGTTGAGGTACGCCGTAATCGCATGGCCCCCCGAGATAGCGTGAAAAGCCTTGTTGTTCGCATTAGCGTACAGTATCTAGTACAACGTAAGTTTAAAACTACAGCATCAAAAGCAAAAAAGATATCTAACCGTCTTTTGCACATCTGCCTCGGTTGCCACTTTGACGATCATGTCGTATTGTGGGGTCTGTCCAGCGCCCCACCGTAACGTTGCATTAGTATATCCTTCTGACCCAGGATAATAGATGAGGGCTGTGGGGCTCAGTGAGGCAACAAATTCATCTAGAGAATGAACCGATGACGGAGGTGTTGCTGAAACGAGGCTGACTGTAAACGCAGTCCATGCCCACAAAGATCTGCACAACATGTCTACCTGGGCAGAAAGTTAAGCCGTAGACACTTTGGGTATTCAATTCCGCTCCTTGAGAAAGTTTCTTTTCTTTTTTTCTTGTTCAATGGTGTGAGCTGTTGTCTTTCCTTGTGTCGCCGTTCGTATCCCGTTTCCAGAGTAGAAGAGGAAAAAGAAACCATAAGTCATGTCTCCATGATTTTGGTACTACTAATGCACAAATAGCATGTCGAAAAAAAAAGCATTTCTTCCATAGCATTAAGAGCGAATTTTCACCGAATGACCGTTCCCACTATGCTTATCATAAATGCCGGTTGCACCGGATCGCCGCGGTGTTATAGCGCTAACACATGACTACAGCGATCAAACTGATTGCCGTTCGCCAGTCGAAGACTAATGTTGGACTAAGAACATTCGATAGCGAGAGACTTTCCAAAATAATTGATGAGAGGGACGATCTCTAGTGAAGATCTCAAGTGAAGGCCACTAGAACGATTGTCTGGTTCGATGTCAAGGATAAGCGAGAAGTAGCAGCATCTAGTACACACCCGGGCCGTAAGTTAGAAAGCCACTGGCGAGCTGCGGTTCCGTCGTTTTGATGCGGGGATCGCCTTGTTCTGACGAACTCTTATTTACGGTCCGATTGCTTGCGCTACTTACTTGGAATGGATAGAAGATCACCCTCGCAGCCGGGAACAAAAGATACGCGGTTCTCTATTCCATTCGTTGTTTTTTCTATCAAGCCACGGTAGTGGTGCTGACTAGTAGAATAGCAAAGCTGAGGTGAACTGTCGTGGGCACATGCGAAGCTCGTCATAACAAAAAGGTTATCTGCCTTTTTCTTCGGTCTGCCTCACTCTTGAGTCAAGCCCCCGATATCTCGGAGCCCGTGCTGTTCGGAGCCACGCTATTGTCAGAGAGGGTTTATAAAAACCTTGGAAAACTCAGCTGATATTTGGGCTTACAGATTCATGAGGTGATCCCAAATAATATTCACCGCCATCCACAGTCGACACATGTTGTGATATACGCATATGGAGGTGCCTGGGATTGCAAACCTTATGGCCTCGAGAACGACACCATCCTTGTTGTGACAGGTTCGGAATATTTGCCAAAAACCATAAGTACACCGCCGATCCGGCTCGCTTCTTGACTCTCCGCCCCGACTGTCCATGCTCAGGGTCGGAGTTTTTGGTAGCGAGTCTTATCCCAGCTCCTGCCCTATCGTCGAAATGATTGTAGTTGGTGTAGACGATACTCTTCTGGCATCGTATGCCCAAAATGAACCTGGATGTGGATCGCGCAAGGACAGTGTCACCGACCTCCCCACGGGCTTAACATTACGTATACGTAGATTTGACCATGTATTCACTTAATCGACAAACGGCTTGCTAAAGACCCTAGTTTTACGTGTCGCGCATTGAATACGAGATGCCAATGTAACACAACAACGGGCTCGTTTGTACCTGCTTCCGGCTTTCCTGCCTTGTAGGTTTCTTGGTATTTTCTTGTATACGGGGAATCTTCAGGATATATCATTTCCCATTGCCACGCTGTCGTTCCCTCCTGGGCCTAAGTAAGACGGACAGACAAGCCGGATTAATATACCCGGACGAGTTCCATATATCTCCAAAATCCACGCAAAACCAGTGGACGATGTCGACACTCCGCCACGTAATCCATTTATTGAGACAGTCAACTTTTCTCAACCCGCGTCATCGAGTTGAGGCCATTGGTCGGGGTGAGGCGTGCAAACTGACTCGTCCTATGCAGGTACGTACCACGACCGGTTTTGCCTTTCGGACCGAGAAGACTGAAAACGTTTAGGCGCTCTACGCCTACGGAAACAATAATGGCGAAGGTGTGCATGCTAAACCTCTCCTGGATAACAGAGGGTGTCTTGGAAGTCCAACATCCAATTGCCGAGCTGAAGAAACTCGCGTTCTTGTAAGAGCAAGTGAGCCGCGAGGTGCGAGGCATGTGCAAGCGTGCATGGGTGCATGTGGCCAGTGGGAAGATGGTGTCCGGGCGGAGGAAGGAGATAAGATACGGAACATTATATGCGCCCGAGGGGTAAATATCTGCAAATTCTATTCTGATATTCCAGGCATAAGGGCGCTAAAAATTGTAAGCAAGGGTTTGTTGGGTATGCGTACATAACTGTAGACCTGTTGCTTAATGCCACCCCGTGGATTTGGTGGTGGTGGTGATGATGATATTCGCTCCATACGCCCGTGCCTCGCCATCATGCGCTACACTACGCATGGGTTGCCATTGTACAGTCTCCATACGTCGTCATTGGCCGCTGTCGCGTCGCATGTGGAACTCGTCCTGTGATCACCAACTCTCCTTTCTCATGCATGATAGCCGTGTCCGCAGCCCGACGGTCCCGTTGCCTGCATGAGTCGGGCTGCCTGCCGCCGCTGTCAAATTCCTGCCAGACCCATCCGTCCTTTCGGTGCGCCTGTAGTCTGAGGATGCGGATCGGCTGAGGGTAATTACGATCTACTCGAGGACCGTACCGGTAGGTGCTGCAATGTGAAACTTGGGGACACTAGCATTTCCTAGTCTGTCCATTATAAAAATGCGGAGCTCCTCCCGTAATCGAGACCCTTTGTTCCAGACGGTCCGTTTCCCCACTGTGCTAGTCTGGGAACTAACCGCAGCGAACACACTACAAGCAAAGTCATTCACACAACGTGCTGCCCCCTTTACCGAGCCAACGAGGCTCCGAAGTCAAGCGTAAACCCACGCGGCACAGGCCGTACTTGCTCTCTTAGTTCCCACCATCTTGGCACCTGACCGCCGTTTTGATCACATCTCTTGCCCGGTGGTTGTGTACTTACTTCACAAGTTCCCACCACTCTTACATAACCTTTCGACCATTGCCTCGGAACCTGCGCATCGAAACAGCTCAAAAGAAAATGTCGAGAATCGCAGTTGTCTGGGCAGGTTTATCCGACGATGACGAAGAAGCGCAAACCTGGTACGAAAACAGGCATATACCTGCTACCATTGCGAAGATTGAATCTTCAGCACGCACCGCAGAGCAAACCCCCGAGAATCCGTTCCAAGAAGTCAATGAGGTCAACGGCAAGCATATGACCATTTACGACTTGCCGGAGGAAGAGTCAATAGAAGATTTCGAAGCCAAGATTGGCCCGACGCTGGGCGACGTTCCAGTCGGCGCACGCTTGGACACTCGGTCTTACAAAGAGTACCTTAGGGATCACGGCGATGAATGGAGAGACGGTATGGTTACCTCACAGGCTCGTCCAAGCAAAACGATACTATGAAAGCTGACACCCCACAACAGACCCCCGCGATGTTCGAATGTGGGCTGTAGTGCTCTGGCAGCCAAAACCAGAAGTTTACGACGAATTCATAGAATGGTTCATTGACGATTTCATCCCCGGAATGCTCGACAGCCCCGAATTACTGCGTACGCGCGTATTTACGCTCGAGCATGCAACTAATATCCGAGCGCAAAAGTACGAATCAGTAGACAAAGACACGCTCCTAAAATTCATGACCATCTGGGAGTTTGAGACCGAAGAATTTCCATGGGAGATCCTGGTTTACCTGGGAAGTTCGGAGAAATGGCGATATTACATGGAAGGCGGGCTAGTGGTATGTTGCATACATTACAGGAGATTGAAAATGCCCAATTGCTAACGTTCCATTGCAGGATTGGCAGATTGCTCAATACATGGTAAAGAACAACTATCCTGGAACGGAGGAAGAAGAAGATTCTGCGATAGCGAGTTCAGGAGTGCCCTGCCTGTAGTCGCCAGAGAATCGTAAAACAAGCATTTTTGCGGAGGCTGATATTGCATAGGAATATAGGGACGGGGACGGGGACCAGGACCAGGACGGGGACGACGAGGACAGATACAGCGAGGACCAAAGCGAGGACGAGGACAGAGACAAAGACAAGGACTATCGCAACGGCGTACACCAGGACAGTGACGAGGATAAGGACCACCGAAATGGCGTACACAGTCTTAGCGACGATAACGACGTAGAAAGCGAACGAGGTTATACCGATCCATACGTGATAAGGTGACGAGCTGGATGAACAAACCGGCTGCCTGGGGTCGGAGCTATAATCTTCTTTTTCCTTTCAGTACCATTATCTCTTCTGTGTATGTATACTTTGCGAGCTGGATGCATAGCGCGATACGTAACTGTCTAGTTCTTGAATATGTTCCTCTTGCTTGGATCCGCGAAGGGGCACCGGGTACACTTGTTGTTTTTGTGGAGCAGTCCTCCGGCTTACTAGCATGCCTGTGTATCGATTTAGAGGGAAGGATTCGTGGCCTAGTACGAACGCGATGTATGGACGGGTAGAAGGTTCAATTTTGGATTGGCCTCGTTTCGGAAAGTGTGGGGCTCAGATGAATGAGATGGGTCATGACGATATGCCGCAGGCATGTACTTTATTAATCTCGATGTTGGATCCGAAATTTTTGATTTTGAAAACATTGAGTGATGTTGAGTCCGTTTAATATTTCCCAGATGATGCTCTAGCCCGCCTCGGGATGCATGATGACGGGCATTTGACGCACAGCGATCACCCATGCAGCCACCCTGTGTGTGGCTCCACACTGTTTGTGTAGAACCGATGCCGAAAACGAGATTTGCCGATTCTTGCCCCGTCTTACGGGGTGGGATAAATGAACTATCGAACCCCTCCGAAAAAAGGACCCCTGTGACGATTGATATCCATCGCTACTTTCTTCCGTGTCAACGTTGTTACAAGCTACAATGGAACGAGTATCTCTGCCAACAGTTTGGAGCGCCGACTACTTTGGTATTGTATACCTTGCAGATTTCTGACTAGATCGTTCTCCAGGAGCAGGGAGCGCGTTCGAATGTTGGGTCACTGGCTCACGTCGGGCGGGCTGTTCTTTTAGGCAAAGTCCCTGGCCATCTCTGAGAATCCTCTGCTGGCCTATGCCTCGAATAGCTGTGACGCGATTTATCTGTTCTTATGACACTATCCAGACCATATCGAACATGTCGTGGCATCTGGATTGTTTTCGTTCTCTAACGTGGAGTATACTCCCCTTTCAACAAGGTACCAGGGGACTACGTGAACGTTGCAGGATTTGTCCCACATTGTTGTTTAAAATGCTTTTTAGGCATAATATTGCTTTTCCACAGCCCCTGTTCCATCTGGGATTTTCGAGCCGTTCGCCTCAAACTCTAACCCCTGTCGTGATTAACTGTTTTCGGTACACCGATGAAGCTTGCTCTCTCGTAATCATCAAGATCGGCATGTTCCAAATTCACATAGTAACGTATTTTGTAGCTTCCAGCACTTCTTGTCTTATGTCCGGTTCTGTAGACAAACGATCGATCTTTCTTCCCACTCTTGTGTCTCTTCTGTACGCAAAAACATCGTGGTTGTGCGGCATCAGTATCCGCAGGCTGCTTTGCGTTTGGGGATAGAAGACCCCTGAGAGCACCGCGCACACAGCATTTCACAAGAGCCTCGAAAACCAAAGACATTCTGAGTGAATAAAAGCGATCGATAGTAATGCTGGTGGTGCCGGGGTTTGCTTGCCGTGTGGGTGCCTGCTAACCTCCATACGCATTTGGGATGTGCGTGGTAACTGCAATGGCGACCGAAAATGGAAGTACGATCGTCGTTGTTATCAAACCGCGTGTCAAAGTAGTAGGAGCAATGCTGTATCTCGGAGGAAGCAACTGGCCCTTGGTATACCTGGTCTCCTAGTGCTGGCCTCAGGTCAATATGACAACGATACTTTACCAAAAGACTGTCGCATCGTCTTTTACGTTCAACGGCGCGACATTTTCATTGCTTGAGGCAAAAAAACATTAATGTGAGTACAGCCTATGAGGCCGTAGTAGTTCCAACGGAGGTTCCAACGGAAAATCATGTGCAATGACTGGGGTCAGAAGTATATGACACGCCGATTTCGAGAACTTAAGAGAAGTGCTCTAGGAGTGATGTTCCCCTACGTACGTCATAAAGATCATGTTGAACTAATCCCTAGCGCCTGATAGGCTTGCCCTGATTCATGGCTTCCAGGCTCATTCCAACAAGCGATAAAAACCCTGTTCAGCGTCGTGCTTATTAAAGTTAGTAATGCGATCATATGTGAATCGTACGAGGGATCTTGCCCTGGCTATCAGGCCAATCAATAGTCCTTCGAGAGCTGATAGGTACGATAGCAAGTCAAAAACTCAAACTCAAACTCACATCTTTTGAAAGGGAATCAAGAGAAATATGAATGGAAGCAATTAGTGCATCCACCAAACGGAATCGTAAAGATGCCGAAAAGAATTCCGACTCGTTTTTTCATGTGAAGCGATATATGAACTAAATAAGAGTGAATATTTTATCCAAAAAGGTGCTACTGGTATGGGCAGGCACACTTGTTTTCAAAACTGCAGTAGCATGGCATTGAGTACATTGTAAAATCGTAAATTTATACTAATGAATGAAACATCTCACGGTCTGACACCTTAGTGCATCGTAGTCAACGGCCCCTCACCCCACTCAAAGTCTTTACGGCTCTCTCAGCAACATGCCTATTCAGTGGAGGCTCCAGAAACTGAGCGTCAGTACTAATCGAGCGAAAACCCCAAGTCATTATATGAGCAGGTCTACTCCTCCGGGTCACGGCTACCACGCTTCCTCATTTCCTCTAGGTACTCTTCGTTGGTCTCAAGATCGAACGGTACGGGTCTAGTAATAGGGTTGATCGAAGCATTATGCTCCTCAAGCTGTTTAAGACGTCGAGCAGTTTCTGGCTTGGTAGTGTTGACGCTGTAGAGCTTGACGCGGCTATCGAACGTGTTAGCGTGATAATCTTGAGAACAAGCGACGAGGTTATTAGGGGGATGGCTTACTGGCAAGACGATGTCACATGGAGATCCCAGTTCCTACCCAATGTTAGTGCGAGTCGATAGCGGCAGACTGAGTAATGCTTACCATGCGCTTCGTACGAATGTTGGCTGGGTCTAGAGTTCATGTCAGCAAATGATCTTTTCGCAGCAGTAGAACAAAACGCCATCCGGGGTGGGTAGAAGCATATTTCCCGAATCACTTACGTTCAAAGCATCATCCCAGCAGCGCACACAAAACTCGCTGATGGTTTGTTAGTCTCGGTTACCAAGCACATGATAATCGGAGAACTCACAGCCAGCCCTCTGCATCGACAGGAACATCCATCCACCATGTGCGCCAGGCGTGGAAGTACTTTTTACTCAAATTCTCATATGGCACTTCATACCAAACACCCCCTCCATCGTTGCTGACTTCGACTCGCTCTGGCCAGCCGCTACCACTGTATGCCCAACCAGTCATGCGGATCTTCCCGTCATGGACAATGACATCTTTGTCGATTGGTGTCATGATAGCGCTTGAAACTGGCATGGTCTGAATGCTGAAGCCATTGCTGTACGTCACGTTCTGCTTTCCCCTTTGAGGACTGTAGTACAGATATTCCTTCATCTGCACCGGAGCCAGGGACGGGTTCTCAATGACGTTGATGCGTGTTAGCCATTTGCAACTCCTGGCTCCAATATATCCCATCACAACTGCACGGAGGGGTGCTCCGTGAATGGCAGGTAGTGGTTCCCCATTCATCTCCCATGCGAGAATGACCTCGTTGATATTGACCTTGCGGGTTGGTACCGACACAGCGTAGTTGTATACCTGTCCTTTCTTGAAGTATGTGTCGGCACCAAAGAACTCCACATGCTTTCCCTCTGGCTTTATACCACAATATCTAAGAACCTTCTTCAGACTGACACCAACGTAGCGGGCGGTACCGATGGCGCCCTCACCCCAGGGTGCGTTGATGAGCTCGTCGCCATCTCCGGGATAGTCGTGTATTTGCTCGATACGACGCGTGCCACTGCATTGTAGGGTGATAACAGTATTCATGCGTGGAAATATGCTTTCGTCCTGAAGCTCCTTCAAGGTTATCTTCTTTGGCGTGTCGACCAGGCCTTCAACTTCGAAATAGTACTTCTCGGGATCAATCTCAGGGACACCACCGTGGTTTCGGATGTAGTGGTCTTTGTTGTCGGTAATCTCGGTCTCAACTAATCGCTTTCGGGGTGGCTCGCCATTGTAAGGAAACTCCAAGACGTGTATCATGTCCTCGCTTTTTTCCTTCTTCACATAGTTCCATGAGATGGCTGGCAGGTCCTTTGTAGTCTTTCCCAGAGCATAGTGGTAGTACTTCCAGCGCACACCCTCGAGGACGGGATTCGTCTTGGGGAGCGGGAGCAGTTGGAACTCTGGTGGTACAGGGAAATCATATTTCGCTAGAATCTCTGCTGCCTTCTTCTTCTCAGGGTATCTCTCCCATTCAATGTAACCCTTCCATCCTTCGCGCTCTTCGGGAAAGTCTGGTTCCTCGGATGTCAAAAGCACAAAAGGCTCTGCGTGCGGCTCAGCGGGCGCCATTGTCAATGCGCAAGGTATGAAGATGGTAACATTCAGAGGTATTCAGTATTAGCCTGGGGAAACACCCACTAAGTACCGCGATATTGATAGCCCCGCTATCTCGAGTACCACATGCCACAATAACAGGTTAACTGCTCATTAAGCGTGGGGCATGCCACTTTGTCACAGTGCTTGCTGCAAGTAATCCATGTATAGCGCTCGACTAGCTGATGGACTCTTTTCGCGGGCGAATCAGAAGTTCAATGACATTTGTAATGCGACATACGAAGCACACTTTTGATATACGACTGCGTCACGATGATGGGTACTAGGGTAGCTGTCGTACAGGGGTTAAGCCGTGTCAACCAATAATACTAATCTGTCAACCAAGTTAAAAGCGGAAGATATCTGAGGAATATGCATGTCATTGCTGAATAAGAGTTGACGAAGCTTGGTACGAAGTCTTGTATGCGTTAAGCGGGGAATAACTTCATGGGTAATGAATGTTATGTATGACGTAGTTGCTCGACGCTGTGCAAATACTCTAGCAGGGAAGCCCGTAACATCAAAGCGGAGGGAACAACGAAACAGGTCTAGAGGAGAAAGGAGATAAAGTGAGAACCATCACGAAGGCCGTTAGGGTTGCGACGCATATGGAATGGCAGTGGAAGAAATGGCGCGGCAATGGCTCCCGCACGTGTTTCTCGGCGACATGCATGACGCTAGTGTCGCCATGATTTCTTATAAACATGACCCGGCCGAAGCTTGAACAATACGACACTTGCCGTTGAATACAACTCGAACAAGAAATCTCAATATACAGAAAACTAAACTTCACGATATAAGCATCAATTGCTCACAGCTTCTGTCCATGCTTAATGGCAGTTTCTCCAGACGTTTCGAGGGTCGTTACTTGTACTTGCATATCGCCTTCCCGTTCTTTCGATTCACTTTACTGCAAGATGGAATGCATTTTCCCGTGATCATTTCTACAAACGGCATGCCTTCTTAGAATTCCAAATTTTCATCAGACCCCGTAGCGAGAGAAGTCCCTTGAAATTACAGAGACAAAGCAAAGCGACCATGCCACACAGCCACCCACACTAGCGCGTCCCTCTGAAGCTCAGATAGGATGTCCCACCATTTCAATACGACGCTATACGTCCATCCTATCAGATGTTGTACCTACCGAAGAGTAGACATTGTGAAAGATGTCAGAATTTGTCTTTACCTGTCGTCGTGAATTGATTAGTGTCTACTAGAAGCTGTTTGCCACTGTGGTCTTGCAAACCATTCTACCAAACTAACACAAGGTAAATATTGAAATATCACTCTCGATTCCTGCTCATGCAGTGCTTATTCAGGCGGTATCTGCAAAGAGGTATGCTCGGCAGTTCCACCAAGGGCATCCCTTTCGAAACCGGACCGCGCCTAGGTCCCTCCTCCGGTAGTGCGTCCAGTTTAGGGACTCTGCATATGTTATCACGATTAAATCTACAGTCTTACTGGCTCACAAAACCCCAATATCAAATTACCACAGCCACAAAATCCAGGAATACAGCATACCGTAGCAACATACGAAGGAGATCGATCAAAATTAGGCACTGTGATAGTCACATGCACGTACTTAGCCAATGAGTATACAACAGATCAGGCGTTTAAATCAATATGAATAAACAAATGCGAAAGGTAGCATAGAGTACATATGAGAGGCAATCAAAACTAGGAAATCCCTACGATTCATTCAAACCCCAATCACAGCATCTACATAAGAAAACCGGTGAGAATCTTGCTCAATTCCACCACTCCCATAGGTGGGACTTACAGACAACCAACCGCTTCTAGCAGATCTCGAAAATCACATGCGTTCCATATGACCTCAGATCTCAGTACTCTAAGGGCGTTCCTTCGCAAGTGAAAGAAGAGCAGTACAAGCGGTGTAAGACTGAACAAAATCGTACGCAACGCAACCTCATAGTATTTATAATATCCTTACCGCTTCTTTCCACCCTAAAATTCCAATCAGGATCGCAACCTCAACTGTAAACCTAATCTTCATAATTAAACTATCCTGCTTCTTAAGCAAACAAAAAAAAGTTACATTACAATGGCGGAAAATGCCCAAACCGCCCTAATGCACAAAGCAAGATCCTCATCCTCATTCAACTCCTTCGACCTCACATGTATCCTCTGGGGCGGGTAAAGTCTTTCCCTTCTCCCTTCTCTCCCCCCCCTTTCCAATCCCAAATCAACCCAACTTACTTACCAATTCCCAGCCAATCCACCGTCCTCTCCCGCCGCTCAGCTTTCACCCGCATCGAAAAAGCCCTAGGAACCTACAACCCCGCCCTCCTCCCTCAATGCTACGCCCACACCTCACGCGAAGCGCTCTTCGCCCAAGGCCTGGAAACGGGGAAGGCGTGTTTGCAAGATATGAAGGAGTACGGACACGAGCATTTCGTGTGGATTACGCCCAAGTACCGGCTTGTGAATGCTAGGTAGGTTTTGCTCCCCCCCCCCTTTATCTTTAGATGGGAAAGGGAAAGGGACAGCGGATGGTAGTACTGATGAAGATTCACACAGTCCCTTCGGTCACAAAGCCATCTTATTCGAACCAGCCATGCAACACAACGGGACCGCAGAACAACAATCGCAATGGCTGCCGCTCGCGCAGGCAGGCAGGATTCTCGGAACGTATGCGCAGACGGAGTTGGGGCATGGGTCGTTTGTGCGGGGTGTAGAGACGACAGCGATGTTTGATGCAGAGACAGATGAGTTTATTGTCCATTCTCCTACTATTTCCTCGACCAAGTTCTGGCCGGCGGGGTTAGGGTTCTCGACCACGCATGGAGCGGTGATGGCGCGGTTGATTGTAGGTGAGAAGGATCATGGGCCGCATATTTTTCTGGTACAGTTGAGGCGCGTGGAGGATGGGAGGCCAATGCCGGGCGTGGAGATGGGGGATGTGGGGTTGAAGATGGGGTGAGTAGTTGGATTTCTTTTTTGTAGAGTGTTCTGGTATATCAGGGGATGCGATGTGCTAATGGGATAATATGAATAGGTACAATGAAGCGGACAACGGGTTCGCGTCGTTTAACCACGTTCGAATTCCTCGATCGCATATGCTTATGGCTCATAGCCAACTCACGCGCGATGGTACGTTTACCGAGGATCCGCTGCGCGCAAAACTCTCTTACTCGGTCATGCTTCTTGTCCGTGGCAAGATGCCTGGCGCCTTTGCCGTACAACTTGCACAAGCTTTGACAATCGCAACACGGTATTCTTTTGTGCGGCAACAGGGGCTGGGTCCCGCGGATGCACTGGACAACGAAGCCACCATCATGCAATACAAGCATCAACACTTTCGTTTACTCAGTCTCATCGCAAAAGCGTACGCTATGTTCTTTACATCGCGCGCTTGTGGGGCTCAGTATGACAAGCTGCGAGAGATGCAGGAGAAGAACGATCACTCTCTCCTGCCATCTGTACACGCACTGACTGCAGGTTTGAAAGCATACGTCACTTCGGAAGCGGCTGATGGCGCCGAAGATGCCCGCAAGATGTGTGGTGGGCATGGATACATGGCTATCTCGGGTCTTCCGGATATCGTTGGCGCTCTCGCTGGGGGTGCCACGTTCGAGGGCGAGAACTACGTGCTGTGGCAACAGGTTGGTCGGCACCTGCTCAAGCAGCTGGATCGCCTGCAAGACGACGACACATTGGAGCCGCATACGCAGTACTTGGCCGATTTGGACGATCCCAATATAGCCTGTGCGGCAGAGGGTGAACAATTTCTTGTGCACGAGACTCAGCTTGCTGTGTTTCGTCATCGTGCACAGCGTCTGGCCACCAAGGCACATGTGGCGATTCGAGCCTCGAGTAAGGCACCAGCAGAGGCTTGGAACGAACACATGATGCTGCTTATTTCGGCGTCGCGGGCGCACATTGAGTACTTTACTCTGCGTTCCGTTGTGAATGCTATCTCACAGTTGCCTGACAACACACCTGCAAGCCTTCGTAAGGTCTTAGAGCGCATGTGTTCGCTCTTTGCGCTCTCTACAATCATCAATCCGCGCTCTGTGGACGCACTGTCTTTCATCATAACTTTCGATGATCGGCCACCATATCTCTCGCCCTCTCAACTCGATACCATCCGCTCACTTGTCAACAGCCTGCTTGATCAGCTTCTACCCGAAGCCATTGCACTGACAGACGCCTGGGACTTTTCCGACGCCAGTCTGTGCAGTGCGATTGGAATGTATGACGGTAACGTATACGAGAACATTATGCGCTGGGTAAAGCAACTGCCAATCAACCAAAACGCGTGGGAAAACGGGGGTGTTCAGCGCGGTTGGAGGGAATGCGTCGATCCAATTTTAAGAGGCATGGAAACCCGGGCAAAATTGTAGGTTTGCACGGCGGAGAAGGAGTTTTTGTCTTCTTTGTTGAATACATACTCGAGGAGCACTGTCTCAATGTCGTTGGAGTTAATAAAGTCCGAGGTAGTCTGGTCTAACTGAAGAGGGTAAGCGGGGCACAGCAATTATCACCCCTAAATCTATCAACATGAAGGGAATGAATCTAGGTATATATTATACCATAATACAAATCGAATCCCCGAAGGGAATTAGGAAGAATGACAGACTTTTTTCGATATTGCTAGCCATCTTTGCTAGCCGTATGAAGGTGGTGTGTTTCCCCTTGGCTTTGAGTAGGCGGGACGCAACACTTCATCAATGAATCCTCCCTGAATGAAATTGAGCATCTCGCTTGCTATTGCTTCCTGTTTTTTTTTCATTCCTCGTTAGACCAAGATGACGAAACTGGCCATCTCTGAGTAAGAGAACGAGGAAGGTCGCACTAATCAACCATTCCGTCCTAGTATCGACGAGACTCTCATGAGACTGAGAGTGCTACTTTTGGCCAACCTGCTTGTACTGAGACATATGCAATTCAAAGCGCATATAGCGATGTTTTGAACGTGTAAACACAATGCCTTTAGTCAGAGGGTATGAATGTCGCTCCGTGCGTAGGAAAGACAGACAACAGTGAGATGTTTGCTTGATGAACAAGGTCGAATCACTGCATCACGCCTTTGGCTGGATCTGCCCACAATGCATGCAAAGTACTCAGCTCATGATGCAATGTTCGTATTGTAAAGTCGTTGTGAGCAAAGTCATGACGCTGGCGGCGTCACTAATCCAGTGCACTTGTTGGTTTGGGTATCAGTTTCCTCCTCTATCCGCCTCGTCTTTGCGCCAATTGCACCGCCAGGGTGATTCCGCCTGAAAACAACCTTGGTATCCTCTTGGTGCATTGCCTCGGCGATTGTCAGTGCAAGCATGTCGCCGACCGCAATTGTCACGGTTGTGCTGGTGGTTGGCGCACAAACGCCAAAGGACACCTCTTCTAGCTCGTGGATGGGGGCAGGCAGTAGTATCGAGCATGGTCTATTTCGAAGAATCGGACATTCCGAGGGCTTGGTGTGTGATGTAATGGCGAGGATGGGCGTGTGGGAGGGTATGTGATCCAGAAGAGCGACCAGCTCCGCAGTTTTGCCAGAGTAGGATATGAACATGACAGCATCATTCTTTTCACAAGTCAATTATGGGCGGACGCTTTGGAGGAGGGGCCGCAACTTACCTTCCTGATGTCGCCGAGGTCTCCATGTAGTGCCTCGGCGGCATGCATGAAGGAACTCGCAATTCCTAGGCTCTTCATGGTTGCGACAATCTTGCGCCCTACGAGGCCGCTTTTCCCAACGCCACAAACTATGAGTTTGCCTCCTGCCTCGCTATTTTTGGTAATGACTTCGACTGCCTGAAGCAGACCATGGCGGGCTACATGGTCTGACTGGTACAAGAAAGTAACTTGTGACAGCGCAGTAGCGGCGGTTGAAAGAACGTGGACGGCACGCGACAGAAGATGTGTTCCCTTGGGGTCGTCGGCCGACAGTGGCGGGGTAAGAGGTTGTGCGTCAGAGGGAGCGCGTTTGCGCTTTAGGGATACGGGAGAGGGGGAAGGAGAAGAAGCGGGAGAGGGAGAGGGAGATGGAGAGGCAGAGGCAGAGGCAGAGGAGGAGAGTGGTGGGGTATCAGCGAGGGGCTCTGCCATGATGTCGTGAGGAATGCGGGATATGGGTAGAGCCGCTGGCGGACGCAGGGTCGCTGTATATCAACACAGGCTGGCGATCTTTGCAACAGGTCTACACATATACGATCTGTCTTTTAGTCTGGCTCGGGCAGCGCCGGAGACAGTGTCGCATTTAGTAGGCGTAATGCACCCGTCCAAAGAAGCGACGCGACGCGATGCCATGGCCTGGCATGCGCCGACTGATTTGCAATCCAGCCCACATCCCTGCATGTCGCCGCACGGAAACATTGCCCTTCGGCTGGATAAGCATAGTGTTTGTCCGTCTTACAAGCATCAGGCCGGACTCCGGTTGCGATCCAGGTATGGTGATGGTGAAAAATGCATTGCGACATTGACGCTAACCCACTGACTTGCATGTGCAAAGGGCCCGGCTCTAGGCCCCATCTAGCTACATTCCCTGCCATGATTCGAGCCCAACCGTCGTCGCACGTTTCTTGCACTCCAGCCCTCGATCGTTGGCCACAATCATCCATGGGTGCTTGTGGGTAGCTGGGTGCGCCACGAGCATCTGCCCTGCCCTGCTTTACTTTGGGGGCCCCGCGGATGCCGCCTCAAAGAGCGTCGTTCGCCGAGCGCCCATACAGGTTAAGCCCACCTCCCCGCCATCCAACTTGGCCATGCCCAATTCCTTTCTGTACAATGCCTGTGCCTGCTCGCTAGCCGTCAGGAGCACCATGAACCGGAGGTCTTCCATATCCATGCAGATCTCGCGGCAGCATCTGATAAGCCACTTGCCCACCCCTTGGCCTTGGTGTTCGAGCATGAGGTATACATCGGTTAGGTAGGCGAGCGTTGTGTAGTCAGTTATCATGCGTGCCATGCCGACGGCCGTTTTAGTTCCATCCGAGACGACGAAGACTCCGAGCGTGAGGCTGTTATCGAGCAGCGTCGCTAGCTTTGCAGGCGCGAGAGGCTTTGCCCAAAACACGGCATCTGTCGCATATGCCTCTTGGACAAAGCTATGGGGAAGAAGCGACCGATCCGAGGAAATGAGGTAGGTTTGCGTCCCAATGGTACGCTCCCATTGGAATATCTTCTTATCCATCTTGTCGATATGAGAAGCCAAACTTGCAGCCATAGGTGAAGACGGGCGACCTTCCCCTCCTAATACTCCGAGGTATGCTGAGTCATACTCTACTCAACCCGCCGACATTTATACTTTGGCAATAAGTAGTCATGGATTCACGCCCTAGACGCCATGTTACCACCTTGTTGCAGGTTTGGCCCTAGAAAACATCCAATGGCTATTCGTTCCGCTTCCGGCCGTGACTCTACAATGTGTCCGAGTGCCGAGTACAGTTAGAAGATCATCTCCTCTGGGTATACTTTCCATCTCGAGAAGGAGGGGCTGCAAGCTCCCAAGAAATTGCATATCCGTGTCGGCTCGCAGTGTGTGTCTGCCGTTCGGTTATGTTAGGCTGGAGAGTCAATAGCAATTGGTGTGGAGTAGTGCATGTTTTACCAAGAGACATTGTGATACCAAGACATCTACTCTTGAGCTTTGCCGACACCGATAGCTGCATAGTAGTACGCCCTCGTTGTGGCGTGTACGCGTGTTCACGTGGCCAGGCGCCGACGCTAAAACATTCATTACGTTCGCACCTGCCATGCCATTGCCATGAAGCTCTCATCTCACTAGACGTTCATCGTTACAAAATTATTCATTGGCGAGTACATCACCAATTGCCAGTACACGACACCTGTTCAACCATCGCTGCTGAATGTGCCACAAGAGCTGCAGGCTATGACTGAACGTCGCATGCGTCTTCGCCACGTCCTGCCTTCCTCGGCTGCTAGGAAGTACTCGATACGAGAGCACGCAGAGACCAGATAATGAACAGCCCACATCTACTTGGATACCCACAGTTCTCGTACCACGTAATAACGAACCCGGTGCCCGTCTAAATGTTGTTAGCTTTACAAGGCAGGCATCGAGACAAAGGCCAAGAGTTCAGGCGTTATTCCAGTAGACAGGGGAATGCAATCCTACCAAGCAGCTACCACACGCTAGGGTGTGGCGTCATTCTGGGGCAACAGCACCTCATCATTCCTTTATCGTATATCACGCTTTGTCACCCTCGCGACCAATCTATCTATCTGCTAGCACTGTACACAGCATCGCCGCCGCACCCACCAAAAAACAACAGTCCAGTTTCAGTTTTTTCATGAATCTCTTTCATGATCTAGTATGATATTTATTATTATTTCATGTCAAGGCTGAACGCAGCTTAGATAGAGATCCACCGGCCCATCCAGGTGTCAACGATTTGCTTTGCCTCGTCTATAAGACCCATGTCCAAAAGCAGCTGGGTAGTTCCACGCACAGCCGAGTCGAGAGCCGAAAAGATCCAAGCATGCGTGTAGCTTGTGTGCTCACCTAGAGGGCCACAGTTAGTCTATATCTGAAAAGCATCCCAATTCTACTTACCAACAAAAATGGACTTCAACTCGGTCTTGTAGTAGGCAGGCAGAAAGAGATCTTGTTGGCCAAGAGTAGGAGAAGCCCAGGCACCGGCCTGATGTTCGTCGGTTTCCCAGCACTGTCGGTTGTACGCGCCAGTCCATTGTTCGTTAGCTACCTCACCGTGGATCTCGACCATGGCGCGTTGGACCAGAGCAACGTGATCCTCTTCGCTAAGTGCACCTACGGAGCGGGCCAGAGTACCAGAGACGTATGAGCCCAAGATGACACCAGGACCGGTCGAGTTGACTTGATAAGAAGGGTAGCAGACGCTGCCAATGCCCGAAATATCAACCGACCCACATCCCCCGATGATCGGGGGCGAAAGCTTCTCCCAGAAGCGTGTTTTGTAGTGCAGAGAAACCTTGCACGACTGCTGGTAGTTCATCTCGTTGATGGCACGAGACAAGAGGGATGAATATTGGGGAAGATCCCAGATCCTAACCTTTGAGAAAGGAACAGCTACGACGGCGTAGTCATACTCTTCGCTCTCTGGCTTCATTGCGAAGGGGTCTTTGCGCCACTCAATAGAAATCTTGTCCGTCTCTTCATCGTACTTCAGTCCGGTGACTTTGCGGCCGAGGGTCAAACGGTCCTTGACGTGTGGGTAAAAAGCGCGAGGAAGCGACTCTAGGCCCTTATCGATGGTCCGCCACGTTGTTGCACCAAAATACGCGGTATCATATTCCCAGATAGGCCCACTTGTACCACCGGTAATGTAGTCAACTACATCAGCACTCTGGTTAAGTGCATATCTGACATACGCAGCTTCTGACCAATGAAACAAGCCCTTCTCAACGGCATGCTTATGGGCCTTGTAAACATTTATGTGCATCTCGCGTACGACCTCCGGCGTGGTGCCCACAAATTTTTCCAACTCTTCCGTAGCGTGCTCAACAGCCTCCTCATCTGGACCCTCAGGTTTTGGAAGACTGTATGCAGTGGCATTACTCCTGAGCATTGCAGCGCTGGGGATGCGTCCATTGGGGAGGCGGTAACCATTCGAGTTACCTGGCACGTTCGGGCTCGACTGGATCCACGGAATGAAGTTGACAGCAAGCTCGCTGGTAGGACCGCCGTTCATTTGGGTCAGAACATCTCCAAGTTGGAAAACCATTTTGTGATCCTGAATATCCAGCGTCTCATTTGTCTCTGGATAGCGAGTCGATACTGGGAAGCGCATGGGACCCATCTCTTGATACTGGTACTCATTGGGTTTACTTCCGGCCAGATACTTTGTTCGAATACGACCTCCAATACGCTGGGAAGATTCGATAATGTGCCAATCATGGATGCCGACCGACTCGAGTAGATGACTTGTCATCAACCCTGACATTCCCCCACCAACAATTGCAATTCGCTTGCTCTTCTCTGTAGCAACATAAGAAGCGTTGGTCTGCTTGCTCTTCATGTAGGCTACACCATCGAACCAAGGTCCCATGGTATCAGCCACCTCAGATATGTCCTCCCTCTTCCTTGGCTGATGCTTGACGGAGATTGGAGCTGAGCGTCCAATGAGTATGGATCCCGAATACGCATGAAGACAACCGCCATGGACAGCATCCTCTGGTACAATCCATACGAAGCGTTGCGGGCGGGCGGATCGCTTGATGTAATGTGAGGCAACATCATGATGCCTCTGTCCATGGCTTTTCATTCCGCATTCGCCGTAGACGAGGCGAACTTCACCCTCGAAATCGTCATCACTAAAGTCAACATGGACGTTATGTACCGAGTCCGACTTAACTTCAAGGGGTTTGAAGAAAAGGATGTCTGAACGAGGGACCATTGGGCTAGCAATGGCACCGCCTGCCAAGGACAAGGCTGCCGAAGAGGCTGTGATGAGACCCTTCATTTTGGCGTTGAACAAGTATCGATGGAGAAGAAAGATACTTCACGGTAAAGGAAATACCCGACCTTCAAATACCTTTCCCTTGCTGATGCTACGGCAGGCTCGTCCGTACGGAATTACCCATGTTGAACATTCACGTTGGTCACCAATGTCTTATCATTGTAGGGCGTATCGTATAGGGCGCGCCAACACTCATCCGAAGATTAGTCCTGGCCGTTCACTGTATATTTCTGCAAAGAATGTCAACCGGCGCAGCTGCGATAAGGGCACCATGGCGTCGCCAGCCGTAAGATTTGACAAGTGGGCTTACAGGATGGGGTTTCCCACACGTCAAGATTCCCGCTACAGGCTACTCGCAACATGGACTCGAAGCGAGATGCAGTAGTCTAACGTATGGCAGGTATTAGTGTGGAGACGCATCTCATGGATAAGATCGGCACTTGGGGCGGGAAAGCTCTTTACACTCCGAGAGATAACGAATACCAACGTCGGATCCATTCCGACGGAGATATGGGATCCTTGTGGGCCTTTGGACATGCGTTTTTTTTAAGAAAAAAATTGCCCATACAACCTCAAGATACGACATCGATTCATTGCAACGGAAGCGGCCGTCAAATGAACACAGAATGCAGCAGAAGGATTGCAACGTTGCACAATCAGATAGTGGATTGTCTGAATAAGATGCTTACAACATCTGACGGTAAGAATGCTGTTCGAATTCTGCAAATGCCATACTATACCAACAGGCTTAGTCTTTCTCCGAGCCTTTGGTATGGTTGCGGGAGCGCCATCGAGCCCGTGAGCCCGCGATTTGAATGACCCGTACGACCCGAGAAACGCCAAACGACAAAAGTGACGTCTGTACGGACATATTGTCAAAGGATTGCAGGGCGAGGCTTCGGCCGTCAGGAATGGAGTTGGATCCTACGGCAGCGAATCACGAACCGAACAGCAAGCCATGCTGATCCACAAGTGGATCCCGGAGATATCGATAACCCATCTCGTGTGGTCTAGAGAAGTGGTTCTTATCTAAGATTCAGCGCCCTTTATCTTGGATTACGTTAGAGTCATGGACGGTTTTCCATTAGGCGTGATACACGCGCGGTACAACGCAAGGTTTCTTGGCGCCCAGTTGGAGTGCATCTTCTACAATCATTCTTGTCATAGCCCGTCACACCCTACTCCACAAAAGAACGAATCGCAGTCTCCTTCCGTTTTAGGAGATCTCTGTATACATACCTCCAGCTTTTCATTGCCCCACGCGTAGTGACCCGAGGTCCAAAATAGCCCTGTTCATTCGACCGCCACCAAGTCAGATTGCCCTGATGGGGTCTGTCGGGCCTTGAGCCGACGGCGGGCTGAAAACAATTACGAATGAAATGGACAGTATGTTTTGTGAGGGCGTGATACCAGCTAGGCAGCCAAGTATGGATTCTGACTGCATTCCTTGCCGACGACGGCAACGAGGGTTATCTGGCATACGAAGACTCGCAGCTCTTGGAAGTCATGGCATTCGGTTGAATACGGACTTTAGCTCTGAAAGGTGATTTTAAGGCAACGCTTAGAGAATCATTGTCAATATGTATATAACTATGGGTCAGTAGTACATATCTCAAGTACCGTGCAGCAATTTCTTTGGTTACTCTACATTACAAGCATCGTATCCAACTTTTGATATACAAACGCAATCATGGTATCCTTCAAGTCTATCTTTACTACCTTTTTGGTGGTAGCCGGTGCTGCCATCGCTACACCTTCACCTAAACTCGCTCAGCAGCCCGTAGTCACCTACCTCGGTACCCAAGGACCAATATTGTGTATGTAACCATCCTTTCTATACACACATGTCCAAATACTGATTCACTTACAGCAAGTGGCGCATGGACTTCCAAGGGAATAGTATACACATCCGGCACCGTACCCTCCCTCAACGGCACAATCGTCCCCGGCGGCATCAAAGCCCAAACCGTACGTCAAACGCATCCCCCCCCAAACTCTTTTCTATATCTCGCATCTCCAACTTACACGACATCTCACAGGCTCAAGTCATCAAGAACATTGCAGCTGTTCTCGAAGAAGCAGGTACATCGTGGGACTACGTCATGAAGACTACGGTTTTCCTGGCTAACATGTCCGACTACACTGCTATGAATGAAGTTTATGCTGCTATGCTCCCTAGCCCGAAGCCTGCGCGTACGGCGGTTGAGGTGGGTAAGTTGCCGGGAAACTTTCTGATTGAGGTCGAGGCTATTGCGGCGATTCCTGATTCGTGAGGTGTATGTAAAGGACTAAATATGAGTATCTAAATTAGACTATACTGTTAGATGACCAGATGACTTGTAGACTTTTAGCCATTAGGCAATTGAATTTTTGCTGTGTTGGTCTGTCGAGTGCTAATTTTAGGTCTGGTTAGCTGAAGGATTTCCTTTTGCGGATTTCGTTGTGACGATGTCTAATATGGAAGCTTTCCCGATACGTGGAGTGCTTGCAAAAAGACGGAGACAGTAGTTTCTTTTTCTTTTTTTTCCAGATTGTGTCACACGAGCCAGGCTTTATAGCTATTCATCGTATGCCGCCGATATTGTTGAATGCCACTCCGTGCGGGGAAGTCTCCGGGCCTATTTGCGTTGCTAGCTTCTTAGTTTGACGCTACTACAAATGACGTTCACTGCGGGGTCGCACTACCCCAACTCGAGCAGCATGTAACAAAAGACGCGCAACCAAAGAGAAAAAACAGCCCGAAGTAAACATCCGGAAAGCCCGCCAAATTGCCAATGACCCGAGGCCCCCTTGCGCAATGCCCGAACTATACGACCACGACGGCAAGCCCGTGAAGCACCACCTGGCACGGGTAAACGGCATCCGGATACACTACATCACATCTGGGTCCGGGCCGCCGTTACTGCTGCTCCACGGCACGCCCAAGACGCACTACTACTGGTACCGCATCCTCCCTCTGCTAACACCTCACTTTACGATTGTGGCGCCGGACCTGCGCGGCTTCGGCGCGACAGACAAGCCGCCGGCCACCGAAGGCTACGATGGGCGCACAAACGCCAAAGACATGATCGGCATCATGGACGCGCTGGAATTCAAGACGTTTGCCGTGCACGGCGAGGACCGCGGCGCGACCTACGCCTTCTGTCTCGCTGGCCTCTACCCAAACCGCGTGACGCACCTGTCGTTCTGCGAGATGCTACTGTCGTCGGCGCTAACGCAGGCGTCGTTCTTCACCCGCGACAATATTGCTGCGCAGTATAATCAGACGGGCGTGTGGAACTGGCATATCCCGTTTTTCTGGCTGCCCCATGTTCCCGAGATGCTGATTCAGGGCAAGGAGGAAGAGTTTTGGACGCATTTTATGAGGAGCGAGTGTTGTAATCCTTGTGCGTTGGATCAGGGGGCGGTGGATGAGTGGGTGAGGTGTGCGAAGGCGCCGGGGGGCACGAGGGGGATACTGGAGAGTTATCGGAGTCATTGGGTGAATTTGGAGATTGAGGAGGAGATTTTGAGTAAGGGGAAGCTGAAGTGCAAGGTTATGACTGTTGGGGCGTTAGAGTAAGTTTTTTTTTCTGACCATGGTTTTGGTGTGAGTTGAGATGGTCTGGATTGCTGATGTTTGGGACTACTTCTAGGTTTTTTGGGCAACGCGTAGAACAGCAGATGAAGTCTGTGGCGGAAAAGGGCGAGATTGCTGAGATTTTCGAGTGTGGACATTCGTTGGCGATTGAGCAGCCTGAGCGGTTGGCGAATCTTTTGATTCGGCTTGTTCATTGATCGAGAGTAAGTATGTGAGTCAAGTTCAAATTTCAGCGGTATGCATGAAGTATAGAGGAAGATATCAGCAGAGCCGCAAGGCACCAATGTTGGCGGACTCGTATCAAGCCTTGTTTTGCATATGGCTCTCGTTGAAGGGTACACTCGTGAATAGAAGCCCCACTTGCCATGCCACTGACGTTGAATGAAGAGTCATGTCTGGTTGATCACTGGAAATAAATATGGATGCGTGTGTGAAACCTGAGTCCGAAAAGAGTACCTGACCTACTGCCAACGAATCAGGTGACTGTCAAGCAGACATGGGTTAGTGAGTCACGAAGCTGGTAATATGGTGTGTGAGGACCCACCACCCCAAGGCTCAAGGCATACATACACGGGGTGGCGACATTGCAACAAGAGACCACATATCCCATATGCCATGAGATAAATTACGGGATGCGGAAAGCAAGCCGACATTTCTGCCGAATTGCGAGATGGGTGGGCAGATACAGCATATACGCAGTAGATTGCAGCGATATTCGAGACATGCAGGGTGTCTTATCGATTGCTTAGCGCCGGAAGGACTTGGCATCCGGCAAACGTCACCTCGCAACCCGGGCCATGGTTCTCTCCTCTCCTCTTGTCCCCAATCGCGGCTCTTTGAAAGCAAATGTGTCGGTTGACCCCAGCAACTCCTGAACGCTGCCTGTCCACACAAATACACACACACTCTCTCTACAAACATGTCCCAGTCACGTGAATCCTGATCGTGTGACGCGTTTCGTCACGTTCATAACCAGAGTGGTCACGTCTCAGCATGCCGCCTTGAAAGGGGCGTCCGCCATCTATTCGCTCGTGGTCCATCCACCGAATATGTTGGACGTCATTTGGGAAATACGTATAAGCAACTACTATATTGCCGTCGCCAAAAGCATGCGCGGAGCCACTTCGGACAGTGGCCTGTACAGGGGCTTGCTCAACCACAACGAGGCTTCTTCGTTTCTCTGAACGTCAGCATAGTACCATGGTTCCCGCCATGTAGGCCCTTTGCAATGTTTACACACAATGCTGCTTGTGGCAACTTGTCACCGCAAACGCACCATGCTGAATTCGCCTACCCTAGGCAGCCTGTAGGAACGAGGCTAACACCTGCGAGGTCTGGCCAAGCTGCAGTCAGATGGATGGCTGTGCCGTGCTTATTGGGTACCTGCGGCGTTTTGGCCTTTTCCGCCGGGGCGCCACATTGTGCTAAGAGGATGGCAATCATTGTATTCAAGACTGTGACAGAACAGAACCACGGTTGTACCTGTGCGAAATCACACAACGTGTGTGGCCAGGTGAATATATCAAGGTCCGTCCCGTGGTTCAGGCGGCTTGGCAAGAGCTCTCCCCCCCTTGAATTGTTGCGCGAAATTAATGTTCATGTGGGCACGCTAACGTGGATCAAACTCCGGGCCTTCGGTCTTCTGCCACACAGGTCCTCGTATACCTCCATCTCTCTTGCATCTCCTCTCGACACTTGTTCCATCATCCACCCACACCACTGTACATGCTGCTTGTACATACCGTCAAGCAGTTCACCTGCCGGCGTCTCACGTGAAGCGGTCCTCAACTTGCTCTCGCCCTGCTGCCTCCTGTTACAACTCCCGTAACGTTCCTGGCATTAGCTCGCGCCTTCACCCTGGTTGCATACTACCCGCCTGGACCCCGCCTCACCCCACTTGAAAGCCTACCATCACCTTTGGCACCGCCAACACCAACACCATACAAACATATCCCTCCTCTGGCCATCGCCTCCGACAGCCATGGCGGAGTTTCATGATATGCCAGCAGAGATACGAAACATGATTTACGAGTCGATATTTTCCCCGTCGCAATCTCAAGACATTGTCGAGGACCTCTGCAGCAATAGTAACGCATTCTCCCTGTTCACTGTTTCCAAGCAAATGCACGACGAAACAACATCCTACTTTTATCAAAACAACAATATCAACATCTACACGCCCTCGCAGACAACTGAGACTGCTACTATTTTCCCTCCCATCGCTGACAGGTATCTTCGGTATCTCGGCCGCGTCAGAGTACTGGCCACAATCGCCGCTGCAGAGTCAAGCACACACGCCAAGGTAGCCGACACCATCGCATCCCTAGCGACTATCGGTGCAAAGTTCGAATATGTCAACATTATCATCAACTCCTCGCTCTCTCGGCTGGTTAATAAAATGGTCGATGACTCGATCCTCGATGCCGATCATCCAATCACCGTTGCCTTGCACAAATTGCTCGACTCCAAGGTTGCTAAGGTTGTGCGTCTTTCTCTCCCTGGTGCTTGGTTAACGCCCAGTGTCGCCCAGCACCTCAAGAGCCAGTATGGCGATCGTATTCTCTTCGTTGACCGAGACGGATCCCCCTGTGATGCGGCAAGTGTAGAGAAGCCAAAGACCGGTGTCCATATAACTGGACACATGGCTACACTAGGCCTTGACATGGAAGACGCCTATTCTGACGACGAATCCGAATCCGACCAATCAACTCCTTCCTCGATCCCATCTTCATTTGGCTCAGTGTTGGCAGATCTGGATGCGTTCTCCGTCGCAAGCTACGAGGCCGGCCCCGAAGATGCTAAGAACGATGATTCAACGGACGATTCTGCAGGTGACGACTCTTTCTTTACCGAAGACGAACTAGAGGAGTGGGCAGCCTCCGGTGAAAATGATGTGCAAGAGGAACCGTCGCAGCCCGAGGACACTGAAGTCGACGTTGAGGAGGAACTTGACGAAGAGCTTGATAACATGCCCGACGATGGTTTTGATACCATCATGGGCAACATGGGCGATATGGCGAACGAGGCGGATATCACGTACCTGGTCAATTTTGCACCCGAGTTGCTCATGGCTGGACACGACCTTGATCACTTTATGTAGGTGTCGGCATGACTTGAAGTCGTACCGCACTTGCCCTGGGGGAACTATATACGACGACACCGCGTATGCATCACGGTCATCATTGGTTACTTTCTTACTACGGTTCTTTTTACTACACACTCTATCTGGTTTTCACGGCATTTTTTGGGCATATTCGGCGTCTGGAGATCTCCCGCATTGGATACCCCCAACGTCTTTGGTTTCCTTTCTTTTTTGTTGGGCGCACTGGTAAACGCAAGACAGCGTTCATGGCGGGTGGTAAAAGGATTCTTGGGTCAAAAATAGAGTCTGGCATATGTTGTTCTTGTAGATCGCCCTTGGATAGGCGAACATTATCATCATTGCGTTTTGTTTTCATTTTTACGGCTATCACTGGTAGCACTACGATACATGACAGAGATTGTTACATAGTAAAGAATAAATGGGGGACATGAGTCGAATACTGGTGTTTTGGGCAATGGGTGTGTTTTCCTGTTAGTTTTGATTAGACTTGAGTTTGTATATTTCTTCTTAGGCGTTTAGTGGTATATGCAACACTAAATGAATCTAGTATCCGACTGGGAACTGTATGAGTTTCCATGCAGCTTTCGTCGGATGTGTCAACATCGCACTGTGATGATCACGTGATGGTTGTTGGAAACAACTGTCTACTACTACGACATCTTATTTTAGCAGCAGTACCCTAAAAGTTACGAAGACCCTTCAGGCCTCCATCATCCACCCTAAAAATACCTTGACCCCCCTCCCATTACATTCTGGACCCTCAAACCTGCTTACATCACCAACTCGAATCACCCCGAGTTCCAGACTAAGTAACACAATAGCAAAGAGAGAAAAGGGAAAAAAGGGCATTAAGCTTAGCATCTTTTGCTGGGCTTTGTCTCAGCAACGAAAGACAAGCTTGGACGAGTCTCAGGATGAGAGAGAGAGAGAAGAAAAGAAGCACGGATCGTCGATTGGTTGCTTCAGACGCCCGTTGCCAAGGCCTTAAGCGACGCGTTCTGCGGCAAAAGGGTAACTTGAGGGTACTTGGCGGGGGGAGGGTTGCTGGCTGTTAGGCTTTCCCGGCTTAGGCTTGCATGGGGGAAGGGGAGGGGGATGGATATGTAGGTAAGTAAGCGGGATCCATGTCGTGAACGGTTGGTGTTGGCTTGGGTGGATTTGGGAGGCGGGTTTGTGACGAGGATGTTGGGTTTGCTGTCCGGATGGATGCGGGATGGCCCTTTTTTTTGGCTGTTGGTAAGTTTGGGATGAAAGTCTGATAGATGGAACAGTGTGCAGTGAGTACGATTGAAAATGTGTAGAGTGTTTTTCTCGAGATGAGGGCTGGGTTGCCGGTAGTAGACAAGCACAAAAGGCGCTTCGTTTTACTTTCAAGACTAACGGCGTGGAATAGACGCGAATTATCGACGCCGGTGTTTGGAGAGAATGTACGATTGGTTGATCAGAGATATTGCTTGGATTCCCTAATATCGCCATTTCTAGTAGCTATGCTCTACATCGGCAATGTTGCCGGAACAGTCAACCGCATGGACACGGAATGAACATTGTGAATAGCAAATGTTGAACTGGCTTCGCAGTTTGCTATTCCGTGCTTTTTTTTCGCCACTGTAGTCCGATGAGGTCTATTTTAGAATATGAGTACCCGTGGAGCTAGTCACCACAAGTTACCATTGTAGCGTCGGACGAAGCTGCTTTGGTCAAGCGAGCCATTACTAGCGAAAGATGCGAACTAAGTACTCAACAAGAATGGACAAGAAAGAATGGCGCAAACAAACAGAAAAAACTCTCCGAACTGAACAAGACAAAGGTATTGTGGCAGACTCGGCGCAGTATTAATACATCTATCTATCTATCTATCTATCTATCTATCTATCAATATCTCGGACGAAGATACATGGCTTATCAGGGGCCAAGGGTAGGGAGGATTTGTGGGGGCGTTGCTGAGTTGGGGAAGGGAGATTACTCCATCGGCCCAAGCGCCACCGTAAATTGGACCCTTGGGGTCACCAACGGCGTCCACGTCCCCGGCCCACGCTGTGGTTGATTAATCTGGATTCTCTCATCCCCGTGCCGTGGTGTATCCAAGTAAGTACTTAGGAGGATGCCTACCCGACTGCTTACTTACATCGGCCTGTCCGGCCACGGCCACGGCTACCCATCCGCCCCCGTCTCGCTGCATTCGCATTCCCAGACGCTCGTACTCGTGACGAACCAGTGGCTAGCGTCGGACGGACTGATGATTCGCCACTAACGACTACTCGTGCTGGAACGTTATGTATGGATGTGGACTAGAAGGCGCCTGGAATCGGTGCAGATCGGAAAGGCTTAGGGTCCATCTAGCTGCATCCTGCCCGTAAAAAGTCCAAGGTCCGCCAAGCGCAATCTCTCTGGTGATCCATGCCACCTCCTGCGCGCCTTGGCTTCGGCTGACAGCCTGCAGCGCCCTTCTTCTTCTTTTTAAGCTGCGCTGATCCCCACGTCCTGCCACACGACGCCACAACCCCCCTTTCGCCATCAAGTCTCTTTTTTCCCGCCCTGTGCTGTGTCGCTCCTGCGCGTCTTCCTCCCGCTTCTGGTCCCACGTCTACTCTGCCCGTCATGATGCTGCCTGCAATGGGCGGTCGGAGCCCGCTCTTTGCCCTCTCCGTGAGCGCTGGTTGTGTCATAGTTTTTATCTTTGCCTTTATGGCATGGCAGAGCCCGCCTCGCATGGTCTTTACCCACGGCACGGCAATGTACGTTTTTCCAACCATCGCATGGCACATGGGACGAAAGCGCCCTGAAAGCTACTCTCCTCTTTTTCTTAAAAAAAAATCCAGACGAAGCTAACGACCATCTTCACAGTGCTGCTGCAAACGCCCACTCCGATGTATCCATCAGTGAAGTTATACGGTTACTTTACAAGGACATCAAGACTGAGCCAACTGCACCCTTTATTCGCGAACCAAACGGCACCCGCATTACTTTGCCACCCAACCCGCGCTATACGAAGAACTTGGGCAGTGATGTCCTGGTCCTGGACTTGGAAACGAGACCTCTACCCTCCACCGACGCATACCGCAAGGGCGAATACGACTGGAGAAACATCAACCACGTTTCTGGCGGTGTTTTCAACCACTACACATATGCATTGGTCCATGGCTATGACTACAAGTTCATCCACGCCAGCGAATTTGAAGACCGTCACGCTACTTGGATCAAGCCTTCTGCACTCGCAAACCACATTAAGGACTACAAGTTCATTGTTTTCCTCGACGCCGATGCTGCATTCCGCTTCTTGCATGTCCCGATCGAGTGGATGCTCAACTACTGGGACATCCAGCCCCAACACTCTTTTGTAATGGCAAAGGACCCCTGGACTGCCAAGGAACCTCAGTATAACTCTGATCGCTTCAACCGCACCTACACCAACACTGGCTTCATGATTGTTCAAAACAACGCAGACACCATGCCCATCCTCAAGGCATGGCATGAGTGCCCTGACGACACGCGCTACGCAAACTGCTCGCAATGGAAACAGCCGCGTTTCCATGAACAATCTGCTTTTGGCGAATACATCCGCTACGACTACGAGGACAACATCAAGGAACTGGAATGCGCCGAAGCAAACGGTTTCCCTGGTGTAGAAATCAGCAATTGCCAGGGCAAGTTCATCCGCCACTACTGGTTCGACAAGAGCAACGTCAAGATTGATTTCCGCGAGAACATCATGAACGCCATTACTCTTCCGATACAAAAAGTCTTTGCGGAAAACGTTGGCGGTGTCATACAAGAGCAGAAAGAGAACGTAATATTGTCATAGCATCATTCCAGCCTCTGAAGAACAGAACGAAGACAACAGGAGAAGCAATGTTTAATGACATAGAAGAAGGGTTTATCGCATAGCATAGCGTTGCATCAACGAGGCGTTCATTGGGAGCTCTGGGATTTACTTTTTTGGATTTGGGCGGGAGGGAGGGGGGTTTGGATGTGGCTTCGTAATGCCAACCAGTGTTTCGACGTTTTTTTGTTGCGCTTTTCCACCCCGGGTCTTCGGATGCGATGATACCCAGCAAAGTACGAGTTTTGAAAACCACTAAACTACTATAATCAACTTACCAATTTTTTTCTACACTCAGCATCGTTTTCGCCTTCATCATCGGGTTTCCTTACTTCTTGCTACATATATTCCTTGTGGCAAGCCAACTCATCATCTGTTTGATCTTCCGCGTTCAGGGTCCTCGATCATCTGACAGTGCCGTCGTATCCGGTTCCCCCTAGTCACCTTCCCCTCTCAGCCCGGTTTCTTTGTTACTCGCAGCTGTCGCCAATCGACCGATCACCATCAACAAAAAGACGGGTTTCCAATGGAACAATGTTACACATGCGCTGCTGCACACAATCTGGGGATTCGCAATCAGGCCGCCCACACACACACACACACACACACACACACACACACACACACACTATACCAACCACCCTTCTTTTCCCCCGCCAAGAACCACTAGATCTCGAGCTTACCGTCATTGATCGACGACGGCTGACATGTGTCTTTCCCGTTGAGGTTGCTACCAAAGGTCGGGAGAGGCTTGTTGATGCGGGCAGCACTCCCAAAAAGAAACATACGGGAAGGACGGAGGGCTCTTTATGTATGCGACCGGCGCAAGGCCCGATCGGTTGAATTGGTACAACGTTGGATTTGCTTTTTTCTTTTGGGGGTATTTTCTCAAGGGCGACGGCAGCGCCCCCGTGTCTCTCACAGTTTAAGAGGCTTGTTAAGAGCTAAAGTCTGGATACGAAGGTGGTCTCGGTTGGATATTTCGTCTTTGCTCCCATCGTATACCAATCAATCGTATTCTTCCCGCCTTTTCTCCCGTAAGCGAGATTGGATCTTGCAGCAAACCGGGAGAGAAAGATTGCTCAGAGCTGAAGTTGTCATGTTAAAGTTTAAAAAAGCCGTTTTATTGGGGCAACGTTATTGCGCCAGCGTAGTCATCTTGAAGTTGACATTTGCG